CATGTGCTGTTGTCGGGCTGTCGGTTTCCTGGGAACTGATCTGCTTGACCCTCATACGTCGGATTCGACGGAAGAGTCGAGCGAGCGAGCGATATATATATATATATATATATATATATATATATATATATATATATATATATATATATATATATATATATATATATATATATTCAATAAAACATGTTTGAATGCAGATATGCAACCTAAATGTACATGGCGGCAAGAAAGAACTATATGCAAAACATGTAACAAATCAATCGATGTGACAAAATCAATTACAATGGCGTGGTGGCGGAGAGAAAATGAAAAGAAAGCGATCGAGAATTACCAGATAGACGCCTTTCTATATTTTGCTTAAAAACAATATTCGATAAATGGTGAGGCCTTGAGACGTGGCAGTGATGTTTGCCGTAACGTTTAAACTGTTTATTCCAGGCATATATTTTCACAAAGGATCTTGTTTCACTTTCTACAAATAGTCATTAACTCTTGCCGTTTATTTAACACCATTTCGTCATCCATGCCTTTTCAAAGTAGCACAGGGTGCATCTGATATCCTATCCGTGAGAAAGTTTAGCAATATTTACCTTTTTCCCTTTGATTGTATAGTTAGCATTTCCCATTTCCTTTAACTTTCAATAGTAAGCCAAGATTGTTGCTGCGTTTTTTTCTGCTTCTCCGACACATTCTATGATTACAATATCTCTTTATTCAATATATATATATATATATATATATATATATATATATATATATATATATATATATATATATATATATATTGTGTGTGTGTAAATTAAAAGAAAAACGGTTAAATCAATATCTTCTATTATTTAGAATAACTAAATACATAAATTAATTTTTCAAACTAAAATCAAATAATAAATAGTAATACATTAAAAAAAAATCCAACAACAATATAACAACGCTTACTCACTTTGGTTTATTAGACATTAAATTACATCACTTGGTATCCGCCATAGTTGACCTTAACTTCCCCCCCCCCCAAAAAAAATTGAAAACTTAGCGATATTTTTACTTCTGTTTATAAATGTTATGTTGCAAAATCCTTACATTTGTCTTGACAAATTTTTATCAGTGGACGAAATGCGAGTGTAAAGTAAAGTTTTCATTTAGTTTTTTATATATATATATATATATATATATATATATATATATATATATATAGAGAGAGAGAGAGAGCTAGAGATAGAGAGAGACCTACTTATAATGTACCATTGACCAGCATATGTAAATAGTCGAACCAAAGCACAACACACAAGATTGTGTTTAAAATGATGGATCTCAGTGTCCGCATATATTTACTTACCCTCTATCCCTGATATTGAACACTTTAACCCATATAATATACCTTAAAACTATACTCTTATATATATATATATATATATATATATATATATATATATATATATATATATATATATATATATATATTTATATATATATGTAGAGGGTGCGTGGGTGGGGGTGTCTGCATGTGTGTGTTAGCAGTGCTCCATGTTCTGGTATGAATTGATTATCTCAACAGAGAAACATATATAGGAAGTTTCATCTAAAAGTTCAGAAAGTTTGACTATAAAAAAAGGTATTACTCACTTTAGTTGGGTTACATATATATTGAGATCACAAACGGTACTCCTCACAAAAGATAGCGGAAAAAATCCGTTTTGCATTCAGTTCGCTCGTGCTGTTATAATTCCTTGGACTTGATGTAACAACTGGCATATCAGATTTTCGATGCTAAAAAAATGCATAAAGCTATAAAAGAAAATGAAATATAATTTCAATAAAAGAAATATATAAGTTAATTCTGATTATTAAAAACTGCGTTTATCAAAAAAAAAAAAAAAGAAAAAGAAAATATCGTTACATCCCAAGCTGATTAACTTAAATTTTATTATCAATATCTTACAAATGAATGAACACGACACTTTCACATAACAACTAATTTGTGGAAAATCCTTCCTTTGGAATATAAATACATTGGCCTAATCATTGGGAAGTTCAATTTGATTTTTCTTTCTACAAATTGTATGCTAATAATTATTAAATAAATAGAAATTCAAGGGAGACAACATATAAAGTTTGTTTTTTTATATATCAGTTATTTCCCTTGAATTTGTCAACCAAAACTTTCTTTACATTTTATCACTGTTATTTAAAGACTGCTCATAAAAATGGACACTTGAACTAATGCAAGATTTCTAAAAAAGAAAGATAGCAGATAAACATCTGTCCATTTATCTTAGAATATGAAGTTAGAGGCCATCAGCTCACGTAGTCCCGGCTGGGACCCGCCATGCCATGTTCACGATAGCAAATCATTCCTATTTCGTTCGCGTTCCTTTAAAAAAAAAAAATTAAGTTCCATTCGGACAGCATCTTCTCCAGAAGTATTACTTTGTGGAACAAACTCCTGAGAGAATGCTTCCCTGACAACTACAATCTTGCTCTCTTTAAGTCCGGGGTCAACCAATATCTATCCTACTCGTCCTCATAACACTACCTTACTTCCCACTTCCTCATCATTCAGTAACATATTACCTAGAGTGGTCCTTGGCATTTGATATTAGGTGAATAAACAGTAAAAAAAAAAAAAAAACAGAGTTGTTACCCCAAAATAGAAAACCCTGTTGACCGGCATTGCAAAACCACACATAGTATTGGTAACAATAGCTGTTTCCTTATAAAAAAAATAAAATAAAATAAAATAAAATCAACATTCATTGACCGAGCAGCCAGCATTACTGTTGGTTGAAATTTATAAAATCATATCTTAAAACATTTTTTTAAGAAAGCAGGTTTCTCAAGTCCAGTAGATGTTACCACTCTTTCCAGTTTCTTTCCTAATCTTTTGTTTGAAGTGGTGTGAAACGTCAACATTTTGATTGTGTCATTATTTTCTCTTCAAGTTACATGTACTATCCATTTTAGTAGTTGTTGTTGTTTGTGGTAGAATTCAAGAGATGGAGATTTTGTTATTTTGTACAGATAAAAAAAAAATATCGTTAGAACATTTCCCATATTAACGACGATAAAAAAAAGTAGCACTTATAACTATAACATATTATCTACCTACTTTATTGAGTCCATAACTCCGCGTCGTAACTAACTGTGAACTCCATAATCTTTTCCATGGCTATATAAAATCTTGGTAAGTTGATTCGTTTTCCACGGTTTTATCAATCATTTGCAGGTTATTTAAGCCAGAAAATATTTTTAGATTGTAAGGATGTTTTGGGGAGATAATAATAGTTTAGTGATACAAGTCTTACTACTTAACCCATAGCTGGAAGAGAAGGATTAATTCATACTTTTCTTAAGAGTATTTGCGTGTAAGTAAATATAACGAACACAACAATAATTTGAACTCATTTCCCCGATAAACAATTCCGAACCATTATCCATTATATTCCCCTAACATCCAAGCTTACAGTACCAAGTATTTTCAAAACTGTCACGCAGTGACCAGGCTCGACTTGATGATTTCAACGTGATATGGCCGTCAACCTGTATAGAACGTGCTTCGTTAAAGATACATACGGTTTTGAATTCAAAGTTGTCCTTCTCCTAGACTGGTTTCCCATCACGGTTAGAGAATTCAGTTTCATGCTATTTAACCGTAGCTAGGAGGTTGAGATGAATTCATACCTTTCCTCAGGTTATTTTCCGAAAGTGAATATAACAAACTCAACTGGAATTCGAACTCGACTCGTTGATTTTTGTTCCAAACCGCTAACCATTACACTACCTGCACATCCCTTCGATATTGCATAAAACAAAAAGTTTGGAAGGAATTTCCAATCATTTTTAGAAAAAAGCTATAACATTTAGTGGACTTGAGAAATGTAATTTCTTGAAAAACTTTTTTAGTAAATATATTTTTTTTTTTTATAAATTTCAACCGTTAGTAACACTAACTGTTTGGCGAATATTTTCTACATTTTCTCGGTGGAATGATTTGGAGAGATGTGAGAAATGGCCTGCGAGACAAAGTGAAACACGAGGCAATTTGACAGATAAGCGAAATGGTCTGTGTAAATCCCTCAAGATTATACAAGATAATAACCCAAAGGCTATTATCTTGTATAATCTTCTTCTATGTGTCGTGTCCCTTCAGAACGTTGGCAATCATAACTCTCCACAATTTCATGTTTTTGTAGTTCTTAATAAATGTTGTCTTTTTTTTTAATCTTCGTTAATGCGTTGTTTTATTCTGTCCTTCTGTCCCATGAGTGTCAAATTTTCCAAGGCTTCTTTCCTCATTATCTGCCCTAGAAATTTTAACTTTCTCTTCCTGAGTTTAAGTATGTGCCCTTTTTGGTTTTTTCTTTAAAGCTTTGACGTTGCTCACATGTTATTCTCAATATCCTTCTGTAGAATCGCATTTATGTTGCTTCAATTCTCTTCTTCATCTGTGAGGACATTGTCCAGCATTCACTGCCATATAGGAGGACTGATATTCTTGTATAATCACTTCATCAAAAACATTAGAAGAATTATGTTTTTTGAACAGCGCTGCGAAATGGATTACATTACAATTAAATTATTTACAGCCCTTTAAATATTCTTAATAAATGACATTTTGAATTTAATTCTTTTTAAACAGACAACAAAAATCTTGACCGTCACTGTTGTGAATGAGAACGATGAAAAGCCCAAGTTTAAAGATGCCAACTATGTGTTCACCTCTATACCCGAGGTAAGTAAGGAAGTGTCTTTGATCATTACATTGTGTTTAGCTTGCATCTATTGAAAACTTTGACAAGACTTACTATGAATGTAGAAGCGATTTTACTGTCACTGTCTCACTAGATAACATGTTTATGGCTGTGTATTCGATTATCCACGTATTTCTCTATCATTGTCAAGGCCAGTCACAGAGAGGAGGAAGAAGTAGATTCATGCCTTTTCTGAGAGTATAAGTGCAAAGTTGATTCAATCAGCATCACACAGAATTCGAAATGGCTTCACCGATGCCTATCTATCTATCTATCTATCTATCTATCTATCCAATTACAGGAATTTATAGTTTTATTTACAATTGCAGGAATTTATAGTTTTATTCACAATTATAGGAATTTATAGTTTTATTTACAATTATAGGAATTTATAGTTTTATTTACAATTACAGGAATTTATAGCATTATTTACAATTACAGGAATTTAATGGTAAAACTGAAGCATTTTAGTAACCCATTCTCTCTCTCTTCACATCCATAATTCTTTGTCTATGACATTAATAAGAAAAATTATTATGCTTTAAATCTTCGTTATACAAAAATAATCAAAAATAAGAAAAAAAATACGATCTATATTTTAAAAACACTATCAGCAATTTTAAAAGACTCGCATGAGTAAATAAGTTGATTTAATTTCAAATAGCAGTTGATTTGGATCAAAACGTTATTGAAATTGATAACAGATAAGTAAAAACATTAATCCATTATCAGCATTCTAGAAACTTTTGTAATTTTATTAACCGGTTCACACAAAACTGTGGAAACCTTTTGAATTCCACCAAAGCTGAGATTTACTTGTTATTTCATTGAGTGCAATTGTTTCGTGTATTTGTGTATTTAGATAGTGTTTTTGACAGTTCGGATTTTTGCTCTGAATATATATGAGAATGACTATCGTTTCAAGCTCTCAGTAGGTTGAATAGGTAAATCCCTGTTAGTAGGTCGTATCATAAGTATTTTCGTTTGTTAAACAACTGTGCGTCTTCTGCGGCGTATATATTGCTGTACACATAACATCGTTCAATGATCCTAGCGATTCTGAAAATCTGTGAATAAGGTTCTTCTTTATTTTGCATTATAAAAGCATCATATCCAACAACTGATTGTCGGCCATTACTGGACTTAAGTAGACAAGTAGTCGCCTTTAAAACGCTTGAACCAGTTTTTGGAAGTACGACCAACTGTTGTTTTATTTGCTTCCATTTTTCGAATTCTATGAAAAGCCCTCAGCAGCTTCGAATCTTAATTTTAAATAACGCTACAAAATTGCTAGAATCTTTATAATTTAACGTAGCATTTTTTAATGACATGTCCATTCATGTTGCAAACAAGTGTAGCTCACCACAGATTCCATTAAAAAACAAACTATTTTAAAATTATTTTAACTTTTTGGAAAAGATAGTAAAATGGATTCCTGTTGCCTTTTACACGTTTTTAAATACGGAGTTTTCCTAAACTGACTGCCCACCAATCTACCCTGGTATTTAATTCATTTACTGGAGGCTGAGGATAAAAGATTGATTCTTGCATTTTCCAAGGAAAATCATGCAAATGAACGTAACAGATTCATCAGGAACTTGAACTAGGCTTAACCATTAAGCTACTTCTAGATTCAGCATAATATTCTCTGAAGATAGCTGAAGAGCATTGAAGTATATTAATTTCTACTACTACTAATGCTTCTTCTCCTCCTCCTCCTCCTACGACTACTACTAATAATACTAATACTCCTACTACTAATAATAAACACTAGGCATGGTTCCTATCTTAATAGATAAGTATTAACCTGTACATGTTCAGTCTTGATGAATTAAGATAATCTGCAGTAAATATCCTGTTTAGTAACTACAGATTTCCTTGTCAGATGCCTAAACTTCACGAGTTGGGTCCCCCCACCCCTTCTGAGGCTGACGAACTGGGCATCTCTATTCAATAGTAGGAGTAGTTGGGAAAAATATTGGCCGGATGTGGAGAGAATTTTAAAAAATAAAGTTTGGGTATAGGACAGGCAAGGCGACTTGAGAGTCACATCTCGATACTCAGGAACACACTCAATCAAAGACAGTCCGAGCAGACTGGGTTACTCGACTTGAAGCTTATGTGATGCTTTTATCAAAACCTCCCACTATATGACGCACATTTGGCTGTGATGCATGTGCCTGGTATATCCTTATCAGAATCGGTGACACGGTCAGTATATTGGAATTCGTATATTTGTATCACTTTGTAAGCGTGCCGCTCTCATAATCAATAATAATAATTATTATTGTTATAATACTTATAGATAGGCTTATACGTTTACATAAAGTAAGCTTTGAAGTAGAGGTCTGTAAGAAACGAAAATACTTTTGATACACCGCAATCATATGACGAGCGTTTTTGTCCATACCCCTATGTTAGTTTGATAATATTAAGAATATTATTTTAAAAATATTTGTTTATTGCAAATTTAATGAAGAAGAGTGCCATCAAAGTTGAAGCTTATTCTAGAACATATTAAACATTTTTTTCTCTTTTATTTTAGTCCACACAAGTTGGAACAGAACTGATGGAGATCATTACCGTAACTGATACAGATCTGCAAGTTAACCCAGTTAATTTGGAAGTCACCTGTGACAGTTTATCCTCAATTGAGGTAAGTAATCATAGATATTTAATTAACAGTTAAAATCATATTGTTTCCCCATGCTCACCAAATAGGATTCTTCACCAGTGAACTTCTCAGCACCCTCTGGTATATATAAAGCTACCGGTTGAGGATTAGAAGAGCATTATTCTCGCTCAAGTTTTTGCTTCCCGTTTTTAAGTGCGGTCGGAAGATGCCAAATCATTTGAAATGCGGCCTCGACCCTTGCAATAAGGAACTCTCACCCTTTTTTCTCTCGCTTTCTTCGTTTAATTGAATAAAGCGAAATCTCTTAGCTAAAACTGCACAAGTTACCTTGTCGTGCAACACTAGGTTAAGGATCACCGGTATAGCAGTCCCGATTAACCCTCACCCAGAATATATCCAGTTTACCGCCCTTGATACTTTGGGGTATAAAATACCATGGTTTAAACTATAGACACCCTACGACTCATTCTTTAGTGTCAACAAATGAATATTATGAAAAGAATGACCACACTTCAATCATTTTGTCCAAAATCAATAGACATCCAGAAATTAGAGTTACATATGCGCAAACTAAAAAACCCGGTTAAAATCTGGGGCCATAGAATGCAAAAAAGAAATCCCTGCGGACGTGTGACACTCGACTATCATTTGAGGATACAATCATATAATAATGATATAATCTTAATAATAAAATAATAATATAAACTTATCACATGGGAAAAGGAACGGGTATATTCTCTCCTTGCCCATTTTATACCCGAGGGTATAAAATAGTTTAATGCAACTTATACCCGAGGGTATAAAACATTAGACTGAATAAATCCGTGTATATTCTGAACTGATGGTATTTTTTACAATGATTCCCACCCTGTACAAGGCCCGAGAGCCACACGAAGTAGAGGGTTACAAACTAAGAGGCTCAGTTTAAGCGGATATGTGGGAAAGATAATGATTAACTCTAGACTTGAACAGATTAAGAGTGTAGTGATCGGGGAAGCATCCTCTTGGGAGTCGGTGGGAAGACGCTGCTCGTATGGAACTTACATCTCACCGATAGAATATGAAGGAAATGAGGGGGCGGTTCGCTACAATAGTATGGCAGGTCTTAGCCGTGATGGTTAGAACTGGTGGAACTAAGGAATGTATTTCATCTTTACTGCTATTTCCCTTTCCATGGAAATAGCCGTAGAGCAGCGAGAGGCTAGCGACATTTTGTCTGTGAAAAAGGGTGGAAAATAAATTGTCACCCAAAAGAAAGTGGAGACGCTTTTGGACTCTACAGAGACTAGAAAGTGAAGACTGGTCAGCTCCTATCCATATATGGCATCAGTTGTTCATTTTTAGCTTTGATCTGACTCTTGTAAACGTATAGGAGAGCAGATGGAGTCAAGTAATTATTAGAGCGGTATTTAGTGACGGATCGTATGAGGTCTGGGTTGAGAAAGTTCGAAGGGACGGGGCCTCCCTGAAGGAACATCCGTTCATCCTGATTGGTGATAGTTCTGGATCTGATCGGCGATGATGGAATCAAACTAGTTGCTTTTCGTGGCATTGAATGTCACCATTCATGTTTTCCCCCCATTGTTAGAGCGAGGTCAATGAAGAGATCAGCTGCCAGTCTCTGATTCTGAACGGAATGCTTCAAGATTTTGAGAACGGAAAATTGTTATGGGGTCCACCCCTTTTTCATATAAGCGGACTCGACCAGAGTGTTACGGGGACTGCTGCCGTTAAATACCCAGAGTCAGTCAGAATATACGGAGATAGAGAGATTGGGAGAGTGAGACAGTGATTGTGATTGAGTTGGAGGTAGAGTAATAGTGTGAGGTAACCGCTTGTAGAAGTCAGTTACAAGCACGTAGGCTCTAAGGAAGTCTACTTTGAGACTGTATATATATATATATATATATATATATATATATATATATATATATATATATATATATATATTATTACGGCTAACCGCGTTCCTGGATTTACTAACAATATACCCATTGTATTATTGTGTAAATACATTTAATTTCTTATCTTTATTTCTTGCGTTTGTCATTCATTGGAGACCGAATTTCATCTCGGAATCCACAACAACTATCTACCAAGAAAAACATTCACATGAATTTTTTAAAGACATTTCAATACTGGTTATAGGGGTTGAAAAACATATCAGCCTAAACATTGGCAGAAGCAACAAAGATAAAAATGCTAGTCAGAAAAATATGTGCCAGAGACCATATTGATTTTGATGTTTAATGAACTTGGATACGATATTCGCCTCTGCATATTGGCGCTGTTTAATCAATATCTTATTTCTTAAGGGACATATTTTCTGCAAACTGTAGTCCTCCCACAGCTTGCTTTTCTTTTAATAATAGTGCCTTACCATGATTGTGATTGGGAAAGGCAGAGGTTTCCAGTTGCCTTCTCCATTGTTCTGAATTCAAAGTTGTCTCTTAAACTAGTAGCTAACCAAGGATAGAGAGATTAAGCTACCTTGCTATTTAACCAATAGTCGTCGGGCGGGGAGTAGGGATGGATTCATGCCTTTTTCCAAGATAATTAAACTGAAATACGGGACTCGCCAACTTCACTTTTTGAACGTTTAGTCCACTCGCAACTTCTCTCATTAGTATTCCCAAGTCAAAAGTACAAACGCGCTTTAGAACAGATACTCTAAT